GCGTACTAAATTATTTTATTCATTTATAATTCATATATATATATATATGTGCCTGAAGTTTGTTAAATTCCCATCTCATAATATATACACACACACATTTCTTATTTTAAAAAAACAAAAACATAAACGTACATTGGGTTCCCTTAAAAGACATATATTGGGCCGTGGCAGCATTTTATTGGGCCTATAAGTTTTAGATTTGATTCTTGTTTTATGTTGTTTTCTTCTCTTTGGATTTTGAAAAATCGAATTGAAGATATAAATTTGAACGGGAGATCAAGATTGTATGTGTAAGAACATGAAATCTAGTTATTATATAGTAAACATTTCTTCTGTAAATGAATGTGTGTATTTATTATGTTTGCAAAAAAATATAAAATTTTTAAAATATATTTATAAAACTAATAAATTAAAATATATATAATGGAATACGGGTACATGACTCTTGGATTTTATATATAAAGATGTATGTGTTTATGTATATAATATAGATATAAATGACTAAAATATAACTATAATATATATTTACAAATATTTAGCTTCACCGAGTCATTAAACCTACTATCCTATATATGTCCACGTAATTGTTTTGGGGTAATATCATACAATTTGTGATGTGAAACTTGTAACGTTCAATCTTTTTAAGATATATGCAGACCAATTTTAAAATGATTTATTGATAAAAAAATAGGGTTTCTAACTCAGATATATATATATATATATATATATATGCACACACACAATCATAGAAGATTGTACCTGATCGAATAAGATAAATAATAATCTAACATACATGTGGACACTCTAATAACATATGTAAATATATTATGAATTAGACTAGAAAAAAATATTTTAAGATACAAAAAATATAGGAAAAATTCCAAAAAAACTACCGAATTTTGAGATAGCTAACATATTAATACCGAGTTTTTCAAATTTCTAAACTAAAAATGAACTCGTCGATTTTCACAAAAAATATTGAACTTATAGATTTTTGACAAAAACCTCATTTACGATTTGGCGACGTAAAAAAAAATAAAATTTTAAAAATAAAATTTTAAAATAAAAATTGAAAATTAAAACTAGAATTTTTAAAAATAAAAAAATAATAAAAATAAAATTAAACATAAAAAATTAATGTATAAAAAGAAAAAAAAATATGTAATATAATATATATATATATATATATATATAAACATATATGTATACATAAAATAATAAATATTAAATGTATATATTGATTAACATATACATATATATACATTTAATAGTTACTATTTTATGCATATGTATACATATGTGAATTTTGATATGTTTATTATATTTTTAATTATTTGTAATGTAATTACAACTATTTTACTATATATAAATATATAGTTGTGCATATATTGCATATATATTGTATTTTTTTTATATATCTATCTATAAACTTAAATATATATATATATGAATTTTTGAATGTAAGTATATATATGTTTATGTATATAT